ACCCTCCCCTCTCTCATGCTCTCTGTCTCATTCTCTCTCTCAAATAAATAAATAAAATCTTTAAAAAATAAATAAATAAATAAATATCTACATATTTATTTATACATCTATATAGTATAAATTAGTAGAAATATATACTGTGAATGTATAATGATATATGCAGTAGATAGATGGGTATAAAATATTTAGAAAATAGACTTCTAAATATTTTGGTCTTCCAGTTATCATTCTGCATTAAGAGACTACTGCTTTAGTCCCTTTGAATTTAAAAAGTCATTAATTCAAATGCTAATGTAATCAATACTGTATTTTAAAAACTCTAAAAAGTAGATTAATATCTGGTAAGTGGATTCATTGCACTATAAGCTTTCAGAATGTGCCCAGTGTCATTTCTATGAGAAATAAATACAAAAGGAGTACCTGCCTCATTCTGTTATTATGAGGATTAAATAAGATAGGATATATAAAGCTAAGCCCAGGACTTGGCACAGAGTGAAAACTTATTAAATATGAATTATTATTGTTATTTCTCCTTAACTGGTCTCACTTTGTAGTAAGTTATTTGGGAACTCAGCCCTAAAATCTTGGTTAGTAGCTCCCCAGTGACAAGGACCGTGTCTTACTCATCTTGGCATACATAATGCCTGACATGTAGATGGCTGGTTTATAGTATATTGGTACATATGCATCAGAAGGACTAAAATTTATTCTCTTACAGAAGTAACCAGTCATTTTTGGTGGCTTGGTTTTGTTCAGGAAAGGCACAGGATATTGGAAAGTTTTTGAATACCATGGTTGTAATTTAATCAGCTGTAGGAATTACCACATCGTGGCAGTTTTTAACCTTCTTTTCCCAAGGAGACATATTCCATACCCAGTATTCTCCAGTGGATGTACTCAGCACTGGGAGCAACCAATTAGTTGTAACTCTCCCCATTTCTCTTCCACTTAAGGATGTAAGTTATTATGCAAGTAATCAAGAGTGACCCAGTGAGATGATGATCATGAATCCATCTAAGTTAAAATTTTTAATCATTTTATACATTATTATTTTAACTATTAGCATAATTATTGTGTTTTGTGATGACTAGCTCAAACTTCTTCGAAGAATTCTTTGAATTCTTCAAAATTCTTCAAAGTCAAAACTTTTATATCTTACCACTTCCTGCCTACTTAGTCGTAGTTAACTATTCCCTCTGTGAAATTCTGTTCCCTTGGTTTCTATGATACCAGTATTGCTCTGGTACTCCACTGTGCCAAAACTCGTCTTTCAAAGGCTAGCATTGACTACAGATTATCTTCTATCAGTCCTCATTCTCTCTACCCTCTAAGCAACATTCAATATTACAACTACCTCCTCCATGAAAGTCTCTGCTTCCTTGGTTTCTCTTATAGCAAGAACTATCCTGGTTTTCCCCTTAGCCTTCTAACCACTTCTGACTCCAATGATGTGTCTCTTCTTTCTCCCCTAACCCCAATCTGGGAATTCCTCAAGGATTTTTCCTAGGCCCTCTTATTCTGTCTCCCATTCTCCCTTCCTTGGTGATATCATCTATGTCTAGTACTTTAGCCATCACTCTTAGGTGTATAACTTCTGCATATTTATCTCCTGGTTGACCTCCCTATCCAACTCTTATCTCTTGTTTCTAATACTGCTGGATCGTTTGGAAGTTCATCTGGTGGCTCAAATTCAATATACCAAAAATATTTCTTATCTTTGCACTAAAACCAACTCCTTTTCATGATTTTTGTTAGTGGATATCATACTTCTGTTAGGCTGGCTTAAAAACCTTTGAAATAATTCTGGTACTTCTCTTTACCTCTGCCTTTCTTTTTTATCACCTTTCAATTCAACAAAACTGTTCAGGGTTGCCTAGGCCTATCTCTGCACTATCTTTGAATCCCTTCATTTTCTACTTCTTCTGAATGGTATTGCCCAGCTCTAGATATGGTGAAGAACATCATACAGACTTCATAGTCTGGCAGAGGGAAAAAGGGGGTAAAATCAGTAATTATAATACAGTGATGTAGAAGTAAAGGAGAAACAGCCCAGAGAGGACAGGTAAGACTTCTTAAACGGGGTAACATATAAGCCAAATCTTAAAAGATGAATAGGAGTCAGACTGATAAAGGCAGGATGAACATTCTGGAAATAGTAATAACACATGCAAAGGAATGCCAGCAAAGAAGACCATAACTCATTGTTGAGGTGTAAGTAGCTCTGTAGGACTAGAGCTCTGACTTCATGCGGAAAGCAGGAGGTAAAAAGAGTGGAGGGAGGGCATTTAGGGCCTTGTTTTCAGTTACCTGTTGCTCCATAACTAACCACTGCAAATTTCATACCCTAAAACAATAACCATTGATTGTTTCTCACAGTTCTCCGATTGGGCAGCCATCTTTGGGGATGGCTCATCTCTGCTCCATGTGGCACAGGCTGGTACTGCTCCACTGGGGCAGGAGGATCCAGGATCCTCACTCACATGTCTGATGCTTCAGCTGGGGTGGCATTGGCTGGTTTCTCTTTTTCTTTTCACATGGTCTCTCAAGATTCTGTAGCCTAGGTTCTTTACATGAAAGCTGTATCTGAAGAGAGCAAAAAATGGAAGCTGCAGAGCTTCTTAGGGATTAGCCCAGAAGTCACATGACCTCTTTCCCCCTACATTCTGTTGGCCAAAGTAAGTCACAAGATAAGCTCAGTTAGAAAAGGAGAAATAGACCCCACCTCCCTTTGAGAGGAGTAGCATGAATGCAGAGGGGCAGGAGGAAACGTTGGCAGCCATCTTCGTAGACGATGTACCACAGGCCTTATAGATCAGTGCATTTTAGAGGGTACCATTGTAGGATTTTAAGCAGCAGATTGATATTTTAGACATATATGTTTAAATATATGTCTTTGATTCCTTAATAAAGATTAAATACGGGGGTCAGGGCCGGTACCTGGTAACAGGGCAGCCAGTGAGAAACCTCTACCCGTGTGTTACAGGTTAACCTCAGGAAAGAAAGCCTTCTCTGTGGGCCCTCATGCCTTGCCACAATTTTCCTCCTCATGGAAACAAATGGAATGACCAAAATGTGATTGATGCTTTCTAATTTTTTTCTTTTTCTTTCTTTTTTTTTTTTTTTTTTAAGCAAGACACCACCCAGGTATCTGTCCAGGACTCTGCCCCTTTCAGAAACATGGGTTCACATCTGCCATGGGGGAGGAAATATGTAACATTGTAAATCTTCTGACCAATGCTTTTTTGTTTAGAAATACTACTCCTTGCTTATTTTACATTGCTGCTTCTATAAATAAACCAGGAAAGTCAGATGGGACTTTTGGGGAAGGCAGAAGCCTGCTTTGTATTTCCAGGGGCTCTTCCTGAGTCAGATGATGCAGATTTATATGATCATAAAGCCCATATGAGCACTTTATTTCTATGCAAAGTGAACCCCTCGACTCTTGCCTTTAGTCCCTACTACGGTGGTCTACTATGCCTGTGAAGAAGCCACAGAAAATATTTACAGAATGTGAAATGTTTTATTATACCACCTCAGGAACTAAATTTCCTTCATGAGTAGCAATTTTAATATGCAAGCAATTGTAACTCGTGTAGGGGAGAGCAGACTAGTGCTTATCGGTGCTTGCTAGAGCAAACAAGGTTCCAAAATCTGGGAATGGAAAGGAGATGGTGCTTCTGGATTTTCAGATGTTCCTGGATCCCAGATTTCAATCTATAAACAAAAGTCTCTCCTTGTTGGTATGAGAACCTGAGGATAAGGTTACAGTGTGGTACCTCTTTGTCAGTGTGCAGATGTTCTCTGGGGTTTCTGAACACTTAGTGAATGCGATGGTGGGCATCAGGGATGATGTTAATTCCACCCCCCCCCACTCCCCCAGCTCCAGAGCGCTGTGGCCAGAAGCCAGGATCACTTGGAGAGATTTGGTCTCAAATCCCAGCTTTGCCACTTCCTAGTTATTTGACATTGAGGAAATTCCTTAACCCCTCTAAACTTTGGGGTTTTTTTTTTTCCTGTATAAAACCTCACTAAAAATTGCACCTCTCTAATAGGATTGCTGTAATGGATAAAAAGAAATATTATTTATTGTACTTAGCACACAAGTGCTCAATAAATTTTAACTGTTATTGTTTTAATGGACTTCCAGCTGATGTTTGCTGTTTCTCTTTACTTTTCAGGGAGATGTTAATCTCTGTGGCTCTGGGACAGGTGTTATCCCTTCTTATTTGTGGAATTGGCTTGACCAGCAAGTACCTGTCAGAAGATTTCCATGCCAATACACCAGTCTTCCAGAGTTTCCTCAATTACATCCTTCTCTTTTTGGTCTATACCACCACACTAGCTGTCAGACAAGGTAAGCATGCCAAAATCCATATGCAGCTTGGAATATAGCTCAATTTCTTTTTTACAAACATCTAGAAGAATGATGAGCCGTGACTAAATTAACTTTTTTTCACTTACAGCATCATAAGCCAATTCAGAACCTCAAATCTCACTTTTCTGTTTTGCAGTAATAAAGCAAACAGAATGAACAAATAAATCACAAAGAAGCATAAATTGTGTGAGTTCAGCGGGAAGTGGAAAGTGCATGTATAGGCAAAATGTACAATTGCTCACTATCTGAATTTCTGTTAACATTCCTCGTACCTCTCAGTGAATCTAAATAGAGTGCTTCCCTGGAAGCTGGAAAGGCCTGATGCAGCTATCCTCACTAATGCCAGTCCTGAGAAATCCAAAGGAAATACAGACAAATGTATGTTCCTTAGAAAAATGTCATAAGAAACATAAAAATAGTAAACACAATCAACTCTGGTAATAATAAAGGGGAAAAGAAAGGAAAGAAAACTACCACAAATAGTCAGGAGATGTTCTGTCTAAATTTAAAATAGCTAAAGCAATAAAACAAGTCCTCCAAGAATCAATGCAAGAAAAACTTTTTAATTGGCACCTGAAGTTGAAATCCTTGGGGTGTATCTCTGGAGAGTGTAATTCAGAATCTTATCACTATAATACTGAATCTGGTGTAAATACTCTTTCCTCTGGCCCAGAAATAGCCAACAATTCACCCCCAGAAGCTGTTGACTGTGAAATATGCGTTGAAAAATAATCACTAATAGGTTTAAAGACAATTACATACCTTAATAATAAATAAGGATACATCAATAGCTTTACTCATCAACCCTAATAGTCATACTTTTTTGAAACTTATATAAGAACCATATCTAGTATTTCATTTTTACACTTATTTAAATGGTCATCCAGAATAATATTGCTTAATTATAACAATGTGGCCAATACTAGATTTTATTCAGTTGGGACTGAGTTCCAGTTTAACTTGGGTTTGTTTTAAGTATTGGAAAAGCTAATTTCATTTACTTCTCAAAAAATTATATTATTGGTGTTTGTTTGTTTGTTTTTTTAATTTAACAACAGTAGACATAATTTAAGAATAAAATTTCAAATAAAACCTCAGACTACAAAAGTTCTAGACAGTGAGTCTCAGCTATATTTCCTCAGTGTGATCTGGAAGCTAACAGTTTGAACACTACAAATGCGAAAAAGAAAACCCACAAAATTCACAGGAAAGTGGTGAATTTATCTTCTCAAGATTTTTAGAACTAAATAGTCTAGACTATGAGATGGTGAACTGCAACAAGTCTTTGGGTTCTTGTCCATCTTACTTTCCAGGAGTCCAGAGATTTAACAGAAACCTTCATGAGGAAAAAATAAAATCAAGTCACTTTAAGAAACAGAGAGAAAATTTCAGTCAGAAAAGCTTAGAAAACTAAATGTAGCAAAAGACCTAAAGTTTATAATGCTACCTTCTATCAAGACTCTATAATGTGCCAGACACTATGGATGTAAATTATCTCCATTATTCCTTCAGTCCAAGGAAATAAGTATTATTATCCAAAATTTTATAAGTTCCTGTGTCAGGAACCTGCTCTAGGCTGCAGAACTAGTTGCTGTAAGGCTCACCCTATGCCAAGGTCATGTGCCTCCCGGGACTCCCTGTGACCCCATGTGGGGTTTAGGGGATGCAGAAGGAGGAAAAGAAGATACTTTTGAACAAAAGGAAGGGGTTTTGCTTGAATTTAAAAGCCCTGAATAAGAAACCCGCCCTGGGGCCAGGTCTACTGAGGCATAGCAATGAAGTCAAGAGGATGTGGTCCCAGAGATGGGTGGGAAGGGTAGACAGGGGAGAGGCACACCTGGCAAGAGGCCAAAGACTAGGACAAGGAATTTGGAGGCCCTTTGGAAAAAAGATTGACGGGCGCCTGAGGAAATTCTGTTTATCCCAACCAATGATGGAGAGAATCAGTTTCTAAAATGCCCTATCTGGAGATTTCTGCCATTGCCTCAGATGATCACTTGATTCATTGATATGTCTTTATGTGGGTGTTTACTCAGAATGTTTGTTTTAATCTTCATCTTTAGAAGTTTTAATAGGCTGGCATTAAGCTAACATCTGGAAATCAACATAGTAATTACATTAATTTTGTATAGGCTGATTCAGTACTATGTTCTAGAGACATAATAATCTCTTTCCTTGTGCACCTCACGATTTAAGAGAGAATGAAAAACAGAGCAAAGAGGATGAGAGGATGGAAAGTCTGGTGTGTGCAGGGGACGTGCTCTCATAGCCACAATTTCTTCTTTCCTGGTGCTTCCTGACCACTCCTCCCAGAGGGCTGCAGAGCAGGACTGAACAAAATTACAGTCTTTCCCATTCTCCCAGCACAGACACCATTTACCCCGCCAAGCCACCATTTAATTTGATGTCACCTTAGGCCACATAACTGCAAGAAGTTAGTCTTGGGAACATATCTTTAAACAAATATTTCTTTATCATTGTAACTATACAACTTCTAAAAAGTTATGATTGTCACATGTGAATACAACGTGATGAAAGCAAGAAGCCCCTCAAGAGGGTTCAGGGTGATATTATGGCAATATTCTTGTGGAAATTTGACTTAAGGTTAGACTGAGTTCTCCAGATTTGCACTGAACCAGTGACCAAAGACTCTGAAGCAACAGGTTCCAGTAGAAATTCCAATATAACTCCAGTTCAAGCTGGAGTTCTGAACTTGTCCCTGATTATTAATTGGTTCCTACAAAAAATTTGACTACCGTCCTCCTTAAAAAATGTATATCTTGTTGGACAGGTTTTAAGTCTAGCCCTTTCCTTGCTTGGTGCTAGGTTTTTTTTCCAGTTAGTTCTACAACATGCTTTTTTTTTTTTTTTAAGATTTTATTTATTTATTTGAGAGAGAAAGCGCACAAGAGAGAGCATGGGCCGGGGGGAGGAGCAGAGGGAGAAGCAGACTCCCCACTGAGCAGGAAGCCCAATGCGTGGCTCGATCCCAGGACCCTGGGATCATGACCTGAGCTGAAGGCAGCCGCTTAACCAACTGAGCCACGCAGGTGCCCCTATTCCAGATAGTTCTAAAATTCAAAACGATTTTGCTGTTCATAACAAAGAGCCTCAATAATACAGCTTTATAGAAAAAGTGTGCTTCAGACAAGTAGTTCTGTTGACACTGTAACAAGTTTGAGAATTTAGCCATAACTTCAGTAGATTAATAGTAACCAATTTTGAGAAGTTATTCAGGCAGTTAAAATGTGCTCATTGAAGTAATGCCCGAAATCCAGACTCATGCTGTAGGTACCTAGTAGGGCTTCAGGAATTATAAAGAAAAGCTCAGCTCTCTTCCTGTGTATCTTTCCTTTACTCTCACACTATTGTCACCAGATGTGTGATGTTTATCCTTCCAAGCAATTCTGTGACATCAGGTGGGAATCCTACAGTTGATCTCAGTTCTGACCCTGTCTACCTGGAGATAGCTAGCGTAAGATCCCACAGGTTAAGAACTGAGTCTCACGTGACTGCCCCTCTCACTTCAGGGCCAATTGCAAGTCTGGGTTGTAACCTCTGCTTCTGACTGATGGACTGTATATCAGACAGTCCTACAACTTCCTTCTTGGGTTTGATGAACTTGCCAGAGTGATTCCCAGGACTCAGGAAAAGAATTCACTTACTGTTTACCAGTTTATTATAAAAGGATATGATAAATAATATAGATGAACATCCAGAGGAAAGAGATGAGTAGGGCAAAGTATGTGGGAAGGGGCAGGGAGCTTCCATGCCTCTCTGGGCACGCCCCTCTCTCTGCACCTCCACGTGCTCATCAATCCTGAAGCTCTCTGAATCCTCTACTTGAGAGGTTTTTATGAAGGCTTCATGAGGTAGGCGTGATTGATCATTAACGCCATGTCCAGCCCCTCTCCCCTCTTGAGAATGGACAGGTAGGTCTGTCCTTGAGAATGGACAATTATGGCTAGGACCCTGTGGTAACTGGTCCCTATCCCGGAGCCCACCGAGAGTCACCTCATTCGAGCAAAGGACATTGCCATCACCTTGGAAATTCCAAGGGATTTAGGAATGCTGTGTTGGGAACCAGGGCCAGAGACCAAATATTAGAACAAAAGATGTTCCTGAGTACTCTTATTACTTAGGAAATTACAAGAGTTTTAGGAGCTCTGTGCCAGAAACTGGGGGCAGAGACCAATACATATATTTTCTATTCTCTCACAGGAATATAACTACAAAAGTATAGTGAAGTTTCCAAAAATTTTATGGATTTGCCTAGGAAATTCTCAAAAGAAGACTCTTCCTCATATCTACTTTTTTTTCCCCTTAAAATTCAATGTAATTCTAGCTGAAATCAGGAAGCAGAGAAACACAAAAAGCAAAAGACTATAAACAAGAGGAAAGAACAGGCTGGGGTTTAATTAAAGACCAACCAGTTCTGGCATTTATATTATATTATATTATATTATAAGCAAGAAACATGACAGGTTTTTAAAAACAAAGGTGAAGATAGGATATCAAGAAAAAAATAATGTCATCACACTTTTTGCCCATAAACCTCTCTTATCAATTATTATAAGAATCCTGCTGCTTCCCAGAACTACATTCAGCAGTTCTTCAACAGATACCCATGGTTCCTCTTCTGGCAGTTTTTAACTTCTGAGTGTAGATAAACCATAGTTTTTAAACAGTCAGTAATTTCCTTCTTCTTTTCTTCATCTGCCAGCTTTTCTCAGTTCTTGTCTCTCTAATTCCTCTTTATTTGTCCTTTCATTGTTTACTCTGTGATGGGGGAGGAAATGATTGTGGGGAAAAGGCAGGATGCTGAGGGGGAAAAAACACTTTCAATCTTTATTTTCCTCCTCAAGGCATAGTGATAAAAAAAAATAGGTATCAGTAATGAAAGCGCAAATAGAAAGAGAAGTGTCTGCTTCATTTCATATACAACCCTGGAAAGAAAATAAAATGCTGCCACCATTGAT